GGTTTTCGAAAGACAGCTTTAGCTCCTGCAATTGCCCTTTTTTGGGGGAGGCTGGAACAGGGGACAACCTTACTAATGACTCATTTTAATTTCACTTCTTAAAACAAATGTCACTTCTGTGCATTTAAAGCTTCTAAATTTATTTCTTCCCCAAGCACCAGTAGCTCTGGGGTTCTTTGGTTAATTTTTTATTACTATTTTTTTGAAAAAGGCTGTCTCCCTACCATGCCTTTTCAGTTCCATAAGACTAAAGCACCCTGCTTCCCTCCTTAAAGTACAAATTCTTTTAATACCACTGTCACTATCTTCTTACAGTCTGCTCGTGCTGTTAGCAGGAAAAAATATTTTAAGGTATCTTTACTGCAAAAGGAAAACATCTGAGAATGTTTCTGTGTAACCTGATGGCTGTGGCTTCGGCTTCTTGTTTCCCACTGATGAGACCAAGATTTTCGTGGTGGTTTGTCCTCTTGAGCTGCAATTCCCCCAACTACTACTTTGGTGAGTGTAGGCAATTAGGTGGGATCTACCAGAACTATCATGCAAAATGAGTCTCTGTGACAAAAGGCTCTTTTTGCGAAATGTGGTGCCAATAAATCCTTCTCCCTTTTATCCCTCCTTCCCCATCAAGTCGGGCAACAAACTAAATAAGCTGGGTAAAACAATGAAGCTAATTTGGCAAGGATACTTCTGCATAATCCGTCATTGTGCTTTCTTGCTCTAGTTTGAGAGGGGGGAAGTTTGCGATTACCCCAATTTTAAAAAGAGTAACAGCATGCATAACATTGATTTTGCTTCTAAGCACTCTTGTGTGCCTTTAATACTTTAATGCAAAGTACAAAGTTTCAGACTAGCACATCAGATGCAAAAAGCAGAGGTAATACAAGAACTACAGGGGACAATTTTATAACAATACTTTTTAAATGCTTTGCAGTATGAACACTGAAAAAAATGCTACAATAAGTAAATTCCTTTAGACTTTCAGGGCTAGTTCTATGTAGACAAGGAGCTGATTAGCTTCAAACTAAGTTGTTTCAGGGGAATTTTATAAATTTCCTCTTCCTGCTTCTCTCTACCCTGTTCCTACATCAGTTCTTTTGAGTATACTATTTATAATATAGCTGTTCTGCAGATTTTAAGCTTGAAATTTTTGAGTAAATGGCCACTTTATTTCCAGACAAGTCATATTTTTCAACTGAAAATGGCAGTCTCTGAAATGTGTACGTGACTTTAGGTTATATGGAGTAGCTACTATATTAAACTTAAATTTTTAGTGATACATCTGAAATGCAAGCAGCAGGCTGTTGGGCTGCCATCTCCTCTTGGGGAGCAAAGAGTTCGTAGTGGGACACCTGCAGCTGCAGAACTGTTGCCTATTGAATACCTCATGGCTTAATTCTTCACAGTGCCATGCAGATGCACAGAGAAAAACACTGACAAGTGGAAATGTGGGAATTTTGGGGGTTTTCATCTCTTGTGCCATAAGGGATACTTAGAAATAGCTGTTTAAAAGCTCAATTCTTCAGCTGTTTAAAAATCACACATTCTAGCATGTTAGTATGGTGATTGGGATTTGTGAAGTTCAGTTGCAATACTGAGCCCAAAAATAGAGTTTCAAGAGCTAAAGAAGCTTCAGTAGATGCAACACATTTAACTCAGTCTTTTCTGAGCAATTTGTTGCAGTACTTGGAATATTCTGCTTGCTTGCTAGTCATCCTGAATTTACTTCATGTAATACACAGTGATAGTCATGAACAAAAGCTGTTGAGAGGCCTATGTGAGAACATCAAAATGAAGGAGAAAGACATGCCTCTGACAGGCTGTTTTCAGTAAAGTTCCCCAGTGCAGCAGCAATAAACCTCAGTGCTCTTACAATGAAACCAAGTCTGTCTCCTTTGGTGGTTTGGGCTTTTAAGCTGCCTTCCCATTCCTCTACTTCCTTCTCCCTCGCCTTCTGAGAAGAAAAACGAAAAGTCCCACAAATGCATTTATGAACATGGGAAAAGGAGAACATTCATTCATGAGTGTAAGGGACTCAGGCTTTAGCATCACGTTGTAACACAGCACACAGATAGTGCCAAAGAGCCACCAGGGATCACTTGATGAAAACGGTGATGCAGCATGGCCTGAATCCACCTTATTGTTGTGGCTGGCATTTACTCAACTGTTTCAAGGAGCTCCTGTCACACTTTTTTGTAAATTATTTCAACACTGGGGGCAAGAAGTAGCGACTGTCATACAGCTCTACTGTATACACTGCAATCTCTCCTAATGAGGTGGCTTTCTCAACTTAATTGCTATTGCTTTTTGGTCACTATGGAAGGTATCTTGGAGAAGATGTAATGAGGGAGAAAACTAGGTCACTCATCACTAATCTGCTTCCACCGATCTCCCACTTTGCCTGGCTGACTGGAGATGTTACCACAGCTCAGCATCTAACTGCAGGGCTGCTTCTCTGCCACCATGTCCTGCCTTTAGCTCTGGTCCTGCCATTCCAGCAGAGGCTGCGGTGGGGTAAGAAAGACTTCTCTATGTGGAAAACTGTCAGATGTAGCACATGAATGAAAGGAAACTAATGGATGCATATCTGGAATGGGATTTCCATCACATCACAGCCAGCCAGTTACTATTATTTCCATTACACATAATTATTATTTATTGTAACTGTTATTTTGATTCCCTATTTAAGGGAAAGAAACTACGCTAGAAAGATAGTGCTGATGAAAAGGGTGAGGAACACCTGCTGTACCTGTGTGAAGAGCAGCATTGGTATGATTTAACATCATGCTTTAAGTATTTTTAAGCTATCAGATCCTATGCTGTTGTCCAGTTTTCATTTCTTCTCTGTCCCAAGAACTTACAGTTCCCAAACTTACAGTTTTGCTGTTGTTTCGCTGTGTCTCCTTATAAATAAATAAATAAGGTGGCCTCAATAAGTTAGGCTTTAAATGGCACGCTAACCTTTATCATTCATGCATCATTGATATATATTTCCTGCAGAAGGCCTGAACAGGAAACCAACTCTTTTTACAGGCAGAAGTAACTAGAAAGAGGTTGCCATCTACATTATCTTTCTTAGGCTTCTCTCATGTTTCTGTGGCTCCTTGGAAAGCAGGCTGTCCTAAAGACAGTTGTCTTCAGTACTAACATCTCTGTCCGTAACCTAGCCATGAAGGCATTCATAAAGACTCAAAATGGAACAATTACAAAATAGCCTTTAATGCTACCAAACATCTTAAAAGAGCTGACAATTGCTTCTATCTTGGTTAAGTCCTGTCCCACTCAGACCACAGCATAGCCTAGACATGTGCTTTGTGGCTTTGGAGTTATTCAACCAGTTTTGAAATATTATCAAGGAATAAAACAAAACTAAAAGGGAATTTCCTTCAGAAGAGAGATGTCAGCCTCTGTCACATAATCTTACTTATAAAGTACTAATGTAAAAAAAGGTAATGAAGGCACTGGGGACTTATAAGCAATAACAGTAAATTTGCCTGACTACAACTACTTGCTCAGTCCTGTAGCCTGGGATGCTGCCAACAGAGCTATGTTATATTCATTCCAACTCCAGGCAGAAGCTAGGGCACACCCAAAGTGATACCTCACTTTAGCAGAAACTCCCATGCTTTGGGAATTACAGGACTTGCCCTACTCATTTGCCTCTCAAGCCAGTTCCTGCAGCCAAACATTGTTTATGGCACAGACAAATCTGTACCATCTGCCTGGGGACACCATATGTTCCCCTGGCTTGTGTTGTCTTACTTTGAGAAGTCAGGCAAACAGACTGCTGGTATACACTCAGCATGGAGCATAGCCCAGCTGCTTATATCTGGCCCATACTGCTGCATCTGTCCAGTTAATGGGGGCTTTGACAGAGTTGCAGAGACTCCTACCTCCTGTAGCACACACACTCCCACTGCACCACGTGGTTCCAAAAGAACTGTCTGATCAGCCTGATCTCCCTAGCAGGGAATCTGTTCCTACACAGCTAACATTAAGAAAGTAAATCATATTTTCTATGAGTAGATTTCTCTCAGATTTCTACCACTAGATCTAATCAGCCTATTAAATTTGACTGAATTTAAGTAAGTGAAGTATAACTGAACTTGACTAAGAAGGACCATAATAGATTATGTGGATCATAATATAGAAGTGAATGTAACACACTTTTGCTTACATACAACGGGCTTAACCTACTCTTAGTAGGCATCAAAATCTTCAGCTTCTTTTAAAAGTTGATTTGGGTAAAGGTAGTATATTAGGATAGACTTGGGGATATGTATGTTTTCTCTCATTGACAACAAAGAATGTCTTCAATGAGAATGATTCTTCCCCTGTACTCGGCACTGGTGAGGCCACACCTTGATTACTGAGACCATTTCTGGGCCTTTCAATTCCGGAAGGACATTGAGGAGCTGGAGCGAGTCCAGAGAAGGGCAACAGAGCTGGTGAAGGGTCTAGAGCACAAGGTCTATGAGGAGCAGCTGAGGGAGCTGGGGTTGTTTAGTCTGGAGAAGAGGAGGCTTGGGGGGGACCTTATTGCTCCCTGCAACTACCTGAAAGGAGGTGGTAGCCAGGTGGTGGTCGGCCTCTTCTCCCAGGCAACTAGCAGCAGGACAAGAGGCTGTAGTCTTAAATTGCACCACAGGAGGTTTAGGTTGGACATTAGCAGGAATGTCTTCACAGAAAGAGTGATTAGACACTGGAATGGGCTGCCCAGGGAGGTGGTGGAGTCACATCCCCGGAGATATTTGAGGGAAGACTGGACGTGGCAATTAGTGCCATGGTCTAGCTGACATGGGAAAGCTCTGGTTTAAAAAACTCTTCTGATATCGTAATTTCGTGTGACAACTGAAGAGTGGATAATCTTGTAAACTTTATTTAACGAGCCCAGTTTACAGACCTGAGCACAGACCGGGGCCTCAGGCAGCCCCCATGGTCCTGGCCCTCCCCGCCGCCCGCCCCTCACACACCGGCCCCGCCCGCCGCCGCCAGGGGGAGCGATGGCGCGCGCCGCAGGAAGCGCCCTTTGTCCCGCCGGACCAACCGCCGGGTCCAACCGCCGCCTTGCCCGGGGCCCCTCCCGACGCCTTCCCCTTCTCCCTCCCCGCCCTCCCGCCGCCTCCGCCGCCCTTTTGCTTTTTGCTTTTTTCCCAGCTGACAGCCGGCGGCCCGGCCGGCATGGAGAACGTGCCGTCTACAACGAGACCACCGAGCCGGAGGCGAAGCGGCCCCGCCGCCGCCCCTTCGCCTGCACCCTGCGGCACCTGCCGGGGTGGCGGCTGCCAGCGAAGGCGGTCCAGGCGGTGAGTGCCCTCCTCGCCTCGCGGGGCGTGCCGGGCTGGCGCGGAGGCAGCATCCCCTTGACAGATTGGCTGCCCCGGGGCCGCGGATGAGCCCGGCGGGCGGGGGTGGGGGCGAGCAGCGGGCGGGGGCCGTCGTGGTGCCCTGCGCTGGGATGGAAAGGAGCATGTTGTGATGACCTTCGGGTAGTCTCCCGCCGCTTAAAAATTAAACTCGCTGGCCGAGCGCGGGGCTGGGGAGATGGCCGTGCACAGGCTTCGTGGGAAGGGCTCCTGTCGGTTAGAAAAGGGCTGGCTCCGCCGGGAAGATGTCCTGACTTGAGACGTGGCATGGGGACACTGAAGCTGTGCAGACTTGTAACTCAGGTGAAAAGCCGGCGCGGTGCCTTATAATGCAGGCTCAAGAGTTTTTCATGGCGGGGAAATGGCAGGAGTGTTCCTTTTCCATGTCCGAGCTACAGCAGTAGGTGCTGACATGTGATGGCCGTCGGCGTCGTGCGGCCGAGGTGCGGTGCTGCAGCCGGCGTGGTTCAGCTGCCTGTTGGCCTTCCAAACCACCTGCTCTGGCTTAAAATCTGAGGGAAACCTCATAGGAAACGTAGTATTTTTTTCTGAGGGTCACAATGGATGAAAACAGGATGTAGAAGCCTTTGGTTGAACCTCACAATAGGGCAGTATAACAGGGAAGGGTTTACTGGGTCATGACATCCAGACCTCCCTCTCCTGCTGCTCCTGCAGCCCTTTTGTAAGCCTGTCCTTCTACACTGTCTGTGCTAAAACCAGAGTGCTCACTTCTCCCATAATTTGTGGTAGAAAATTCCACCAGAAAAGTGTACTGTTGATGGTGGCCCATTGCACAAGACGTCACTTCATCTCAGGCAGTCCTGGGCCCAACAGGAAATAAAAGGCTCATGTTCTGCTTGCTTTTTTGGTGCATGCAATGTTGTTCCTGAACACATTAAGCAGTTGGGCTCGCAGTTCAAACTCCTGTTTGTTCTGTGCCTGCTGATGGGCTCTTCCAGAATGTGCCAGTTTGGCTGCTGCTAAGGACGTGAGGAGCATCATTCTCAAGTAGTGGCAGGGAGGTAGTGAAACCAGCAGTGGAAAAGGGCAGCTGACTGTAAATGTGCGTCACTGTACATTTTGCAGCCAACACAGTGGCTTTTTAGTCAGATGTGTCATGCTCACAGGAACTGTAGGTGATTTCCAACCCTTTCTCATTACTTCGCCAGAGGACATTTAGTTTTTAAACTTCGTCTCATACACAGTCAAAACCCTCAATGAAAAACATAATATACTTCAATGCTGGTAATGGTAACGCTGCCAAAAATAAAGTTTTCTAAGAGTATTTTAAAAAATCACACCCAAGAATGCTTTCAATAAATATAACAGGACATTAGCTTCATCTAATGGAGATTAATAAAGTAAGATGTGCTGGCTGTTGTTCCCTGATAAAGAGATCATTTATTTAGGTGGGTTCATTGACTACAATAAAATAAGCGATTACATATACAAATTTACTGGTGTACCAAAGTCTTAAAATGTTTAATTATTTATAAAACTTTCTAGGTAGGAAGAAGAAAAATTATCATTCTAATCAGGATGAATAGGTGCTCGATATGCTCCTAAATAATTAGCAGTTTATGTCCTGCACCCATCTGTCAGTGAGAGGAAAAAGAAGGTGGAGTTATAGTTGTTCACCCTCCTAATTGCCAACATTTTTTGCTCCGTTTTTGTAACCCTTTATCAAAATGCACAGATCTTGGAGTTTTTGGTTAAAACACTTTAAACAAGCCCCCGAAATTCCAGAAGGTGGAAGGAAGCCTCAGTCTCTGTGGTAAGAAAAAGGTTCCAGTTTTGGGAAAGTGTTGATTTTTGGAAATGCCAGTGACGGTCTTTAACACCTATAACCTTTGTGTTGCAATAGTGGTTTTTAGTGGGATAATCACTCTGCTAAACAGGGTATTGCAATCAGAAAGTGAGCTCTCCTCATTATAGTGATCAAATGTTTGATAAAACACTGTGAAATCACCTGCAGAAAACTGGTTTCTGGACCTAAGAAATACTTTTCTTCAGATTAATAATGGCATATGTTGTAACCTTAGCCTGTTCTTTTGGGCAGTTGAAATAAGGAAAATGTGACTGCCAAAAGGATGCTGAGAGGCATGTTATTGTATGGGTTTCTAGATTATTGTTGTTTTGTTATAAATAGGTGGAATGTTTTTGTTAGTCCGTGACTGGTTCAAATTCTGTGCAAAGGTAAATGGCACAGTGTATATTGTGCCAAGATTGAGGTAGAAACAAATTCTTATCTAAAAGAGAAATAGTTGTCATCAACTATTGTTTGTCTTTAACCAAAATGCCCTAACTGGAAAGGAAAGTTGTAATTCAGCCCTAAATATCTGCTCTTTTTCTGAGCTGTTCACTTTCTATAGTATTATATATAGTGTAGGGTATTAGCAAGTCCACCCATCTGAACTAGAAGATTTTGTGCTGGGAATACCACTGCCAAGCATCTTCACAGGCCTGTTAGCACATTCATTGATCTGCTCTATTTTTGTAGCATTCTTTTGTAGCTTTTTACTTATTAAATCTCCTTTACAAACCTGACACTTGTGTAGAAAATTCCAACATTAATGTCAATATCAATGAATAACTTCTTGCTGGTAAGGGACAGATAAAGCTGTTTAATTTCTGGTGTACCTACAGACAGATAGGACTAATAATAAAATTAAAAAGAACCCAAAACAACTCCTTCTCTAACAATGCTTTTGGTATTTAAAACTATTTTTTTTTGCAGTAGGACAACAGCATAATTCCTTTTGTTTCTGATAGTGGTATCAAGAAGCAAACTAAGAAACCCAAGCAGAATTCTCTGGCGTCTTATAAATGTGCTATTGGTACACCAACTTAATCAAAGAACTTAAAGTTTTTCCAGCCAAAGTTTTTTTATTGATATGCTCTATTTTATTGTTCAGCTTATTAATAAAAAATTGAACACTGACTTGGAAAGCCCCACACAGGATTCCACTTGATAAATCTCATGTATTTAACACAGAACTGCTTAAAACTGTTCTTTGAGTGGGATTTTTTTCAGCTTGTTTGTACACTCAGTGGTGAGGCTTTTTTCAGTTATTTAGGTTATATTGTGGTTATCTGGACTTATACTTCTATTTAAGGATGGGTTTATCTCCTATCTCTTCTGTTTCAGCCCAGATGAAAGCAATGGCATTCAGTTGTCAGTGCTTATAAAAAGAGATAGCACTACACATGAAAACATATCTCACAACTGACCTTGTGAAAAATGTGAAATTGAAAGTCATTGGACGCAGCTGTAAGCAGATCTTTTTAAATGCAAAAAACCCATAAAAATCGGAAATTCAGAATTCAAAACATTCATTGGACAACCATTGTAGTCACGGTTTTAGGTCCGAGGGCTGCTGAGAAGTTTGTGTTGCCAGCCACTGCAGGAGAAAAGGGAAGAATGTGGAGGCCTGGTAGTAATATTGCAGTTTCCCAGCTCAGCTTATTTCCCTTTCGGAGCTCCTGTTTACTTTATATGATTGTAGCATTTTCAAAACATCATTCTTTGAAGTGCCCTTCTGAGGTCTGGCTTAGCAGGGGGAATTTACAGTTCCTACTGCTAAATTGTTGTTCTTGTTTTTACTGTTAAAAACCTGAAACCGAAGACCAGTGGTTACTTTCTGAGAATTCTGAATTTTAGAATTTGATTTTTTTTTTTTAAGAACTGTCAACCTCATTATTGCTCATATACTCTTATTAAAAGTATGATCGTCATCCTTATATCATTCTCAATTTTATGACCGAGTCTGATTTCTGGTAATGGTTTTCTTATAATTTGGTGAACTCCATACTAAAAGGATCTATAAAGCTGTGTCAACTTTATGGGATAAAGGAAACTAGCAAGAAGTGGCCAAAATAAGAGAACAGTTAAATAGAGCAATATTCTTTCTTGTACAATAAAATAGTAGAAAATCCAGCAGTTATTAATTAACTCATATTCTTTCCTCAAAACATACTGTGGCGGGAAGGTGAAGATGAGCTTCTGCATAGATTAAATATTGTCCAACATAGCTTAAACACAGTTTGAAGTTTTGGTTCCTACAGAAATATTTGAGCTTCTGTCGTTAGTGGGTCATAAGCACGCGAGCTGTTGGCTCCCTGTACTTTCCCTGGAGTTTTATCGAGCAAGGTGACATCAGCTGTAAACTATCAGGGAGGTAGCTGAGTGTGTCATTGCTGCCCAGTGTCCCTCACTTCCCTGAACCCAAATGCATTTAAAACTGAGTGCAGCCCTAAGTAGTAAGGGATAGCATTTTCGCTTGTTCTGAGCAGGATGTGTGCTCCCCATGCTGCCTTCCTTGTCTGCTTCCAACTGGCAGTTGCACAAAACCCCAAAACAGGAATCTTGACTGTTAATCCAGAAGCTTATGTTTGGCAGTGTGCTCAGCTTACCTGAGTAGTTTATCAATCACCTTTAGCAGCAACTGTAAACCATGTCATTATATAATTATTTATGCCTGTAAGAAAACAGTGCAGCATTTTACCAGACTTTTTGTAGATTGAGGATTTTCCTCATAGCTATCTTTATTGATGTTCATATCAGAGATGTCTGTTTGCTGAATATATTAGAGGCTTGCTTCAACTCAAGCATGTTATTTGTTTGCAGATTTTCTCCTTTGTGGCTGTTACTTGTGAAGAAATTGTGCAGGATTGTGGCAATTGTGGTGGACTTTACTTCTTTGAATTCACTAGCTGCAGTGCCTTTCTTTTGAGCCTCCTGATTCTGTCTGTGTATTGCACTGATGTATATGAAACACTGGGGGAAGATAAAGTAGAGAAACTGGTAAGGAAATTTATTTTTTTTAAAAACAAAGTGCATAAAGACTGCTGTGGAGTAAAAAGGCTATGCAGAATGAATCTCCTTTTCTTCTCCATTTAAAGGGTAGGTTAAAGTAGTTTATAGTTAAAAAATGATCAAACTTTGATCAAACTTTGATCAAAAATGAACTCCCTTTTATATTGACAACTTTTCCAAAACTGTCACATTGGCTACCTGCAGGATTTTAGGATTTGTGTGAAAAAATGCTGCTGTATAGCCATCACATATATGTATATAGACAGAATAAAGTTCACTGCCAGCATGATGCTTGTAATTTATCAGTTTACCCTGTCTGTTTTCCTACTGGATATAGCCTACCTCCTTTTTGGTAATGATCATACTTGTTACAGTGTATGGTTTTATATTTCAGAAAATCCAGCAGTGGGAGAAGGTTGCTCTGTAAAGTCAGTAAGAACATTATACTGTCTTACAAGTGTCCCTTCCTACTTGCCTTCAGAGAAAACAGTTGGGGTTTTATGTGAAGGTAAAGTTAAGGGAGTGTAGTAAAAGATTTGAATGAGCACATTTACTTACAGGTTTCTAAATTCCCAAATCTTTTACATAGGGAATAATACTAGCATGGTTGTTCTGAGGTTGAATTTGAGTGTGAAAAAAGTTAGGTGAAATTAATTAAATACTTAAAAAGGACAAAAATGGGGGAGACTTAAATATCTGATAATGTTGTTTAAATAACCGATAATATTGAATGTCATTTGGAATGTAGTTGTAAAATATATTTTCTGAAGATTCCATTAGCATGAAGTTTCAAAACATAAATTCACAGGCAGGTTAACTCAGCTGCTGTTATGATGTTTGTTCTCTTCAGGTAACCCATCTACAATTCAATAACGTTTTTTCTTTATATTTGCAGAATTTTTGGGCCATGCCAGTCATAGCTGCCTGGTTTGTGTTAGCATCAATAGTGTTTGCTCTGACCAGCTCTGGCTCTGCTGTTGAAAGTGTTGCATGTGTAAGTCTTAAAATGGCAGGATTTACTTTGTATTTATCTGGTATGTTAATTTCTCTGCCCTTTTAACTTCACTCAATTTGCAGGGAAAAAACTGGGCAGGGAATAGAATTCAGTGTATTGTGATGTTTCAGGGGGAATTAACTATTTCAGAACTTCCAGAAACTTAACATAGGAAATCCAAACAGCAGGCATTCCTGAGGATTGCTGAAAAGTTCTGTGTGTACTTGCAGCTCCCCAGCATTTTCCTGCTGGGAAGCTCTCTTGAATTTGTTTTATTTTCTGTCGTCTGTTGTTGTTTCAGTGTTGTTATCTTTTGCAGCTTCCCCAGTTTTCTGATACCCTGCTTCTGAAATTCCTTTTTTCCCTTCAACTGTCCTGTCATAATGCCACCTGCTTACAAAGTCAGCAAGAAACTGTCTTTTACCAGGTGTTACAATGCTGACTTGCAAAGGCTGCAATAAGAGCAGCATTTTCCTCAGTGACAGAAATAGTCAAGGCACGCAAGGCACTGAAGAGGCTTTGGGATGCTGTGGATATCATAATTCCTTAGTCATTTGGCACTTCTTTTGAATAACCCTGGAATTGTGAATATGTTAATTTAAAACATCAAGTTTTGATTTCATTCTTGAACAAGGAAAAATGAGTTAGAAAAGAAAGCAAGATAATTCTGTTCCACAGGCAGGATGAGCTACTAGAGATGCACACTTTTGTATAGTTATCTTCTGTGATGTTCATATATTTAGACCTAATAGTTTCAGTATAAAGTCTTTCAGGTTTGGTTTTTTGGGGGTTTTTTTGGTGCAGGAAAAATAAAAACTACTGTGATTTAATACTTACTAGCGTCAAACTGCTTTGCACCAAACCAGTTGTGTAAAATTTAGGTAGAGTTAGAATAGTGCATGTTTCTTTCCTAGTTTGAAAGAAGCAGCTAATAACAGCTTTCTCCTTCCCACTATCTTGCCAAGACTAGTAACAAAATGTCATTCACAAAATGTCTTTTTGTTCTCCCTTGCTGACCCTGTAAGGACTTGCATAGGGTCTACAGATCTCATCTCCTTTCACCTTCCATGTGTTGCTCTTCTTCATTTACTCTCTTCAATCAGCAATCATCTCTTGGATAAATACTCTGCTATATCACCGATGCCATACTGCTTTAGTAACTGATTTTTGGTAATAAAATTAATATATTTTTATTATTAAGGGCTGTTTAGAACACAGTATAGAGTTCACATGATTAAAAGAATGAAACCTGTAAAAACTTCTGCATTAAATGTGCTAGAATTATGAATTCTGATCTGTTTCTAATTTAAATGGAACTATCAATATAAGGAGGACTGTAATCTTAATATGAAAGTGTTATTAATGTATGCAAATGGTCCAGCAAATCTCTCCAGACAATGTTAGGATACTGTTACTGTTTTGATGCATTTTAAAATCACATATTTCTTTCACTTTCACAGACATTTGGATTTCTTGCAAGTATTGCATTTGTAGTTGAATTTGTTATACAGTGCATTCACAGGCGAAAGCAAAACGTCGCTGGACAATCTGAAAATCCTGGTAACACTCCGAGAGCCACAGAAAATCAGCCACTGAATAAACAAACCTAACTTCACGAAATTGTTTCTTTTTTTTTTTTTTAAATGGAGCAAACTTAAATGAACTTTCAGTGCACTGTAGGTAACAACTTCTGTCTCTTAATTCTAATCAGTTTTGTACACATTGCTCGTCAAAATTTTGATAGATCCCTAGGTCAAGTAATGGCATCTTGAGCACAATGTTCTAAGGTAACTGGTCCTGCCTAATGACTGGTCTTGTCACCTGCCCAGGTGACATGCACTAAAAACCTTGAGTCTAACTAAAATAACTTAAAGACAACACACAATCAATGTGCTGATTTGATTTTGGCAGAGGTAACTAAAGGTTAATGTCTGAGGCATAAATTCTGAGATATAGCCTAAAGATATTTCCTGTATAAATGGACCGGATGCTTCTGTTATGAGTTATAAATTAGAACAGCAAAATTCACTTTTGTACTTAATCAAACTGAATGTGAAAGGGATACCTAGTTGGAACCTTACAGAAATGCTTATCCTTACAGAAATGCTTATCCTTACATAAGGGGGTTTGGGTTTTTTTACTATTCCTGTGTCTCAGTTCTGTCTGTGGAGATCAGTTTAGTGGAATAGTGACTGTAGGGGTTTTATGGGGAGGGTAATGTAAATGGTATATTAAGGAGACAGTTTTGCACCCCATGATTGTCAAAGTTTGGACTTGTATACCAGAATCTTCTTTCAGATGGTTTGAAAAGCTATAAAAGTTGCAGGAAGAAACTTGAAAAGCCACCTGGGGGAGGAACATGATAAAGAATAGATATTTTCATGAAGTAATCTCAAAAGTAGAAATCAGAATATCAATGGGAAAAAACTTAACAGCCCATTGGTACTATCCTGGTGAATGTTGCTTGCAAAGTTAATACATATGCATCTTGATTATGCACAGATAATGCTAAGTTCTGCCAGAATGGTTGTGAACCTTACTATTTTCTGTGTTTCTAAATATGTGGCAGTACCTTGAGAGTTCTTGCTACTGACTAGCTCAGTTGGTAAACAGGTAAATAAGCATTTTTGGCCTCGATTTGCTTTGAAAGCGACAGTCTGTAGGTCTGCAAGAAACACTACTGATATGACAGGTATCAGACAAGTGACGGATGTGTCAGACCAGATGTTGATGGCTGTAAAAGAAATGAAGGGGTGCAAAAGCATTTTTCAGTTGTCTGAGGTAGAAGCAAGATGCTACACCTCTTCTAAGAGGAAAGCCTTCGAAAGCAGAGCAAATTGCTGTAAGCCAGGAGACATTTCAAAATACCAAAGCAAATGAGAAAAAGCTGATTATGCAAAAACAGTTCTTGTTTGAGTGCTCATGACATTTGCCATGTCTTAAGTCCATTTCATCACTACCCTAGTCTGACATGTTCATAGTCCTATAAGCTGTTGTGGCAGCACTGAGACTAAGCCCCCCAGAAATAGGCTGAGCAAGCTGTATTTGGGAAAGGAAGAAGAAGCTGTTGTAAGACAAAGGACTGTAATAGCAGATCAATGATTTTTTTTTTTTCCATTGCTGCCACTTTCTGATGAATGTGAGTTTGTGATGTTCTCCCTCTATAGCCTGAGACTTAAGCCTAACGCTACGCTTTGCTTGGAGGATGTAAAATTTTGACAGGTGGTGTGAAGCACCAAGTTAAAGCTGTAGCTTGGTTTCAGACCTATGGATGAAAGAGACGTTTCCTTCCTACAATTTCCTGTACTGTAAAGAAGAAATGCTCTTCAGACTGGCTTTTTTCCCTTTGTATTTATTAGTCTTCATTTGCACTAAAACCTGATCTTAGTGTAGGTGTACAGAGCTGTAGCTGTCTCTGATAACTGTGTAGCCTAGAGCTGGTTTGTTTACAAGTGGTGCTACTGATGATACAAAATATCCATAGTGAGAAATATCTCTACTGTGATCTGCAATCTCTTACTTTGGGGATCATGCCTATGTGATTAACATTCGAAGGGGGGGGTCTCATTTTTTTTCTTATTGCCTAGGATACTACTGAATTTGCTTTCACATCAAAATGTCTGTAGTCTCTAAATCTTCATCTGTAATGAATAGCTGTAAATATAGTGTAAGAGCAACACTGTGCTGCTGATATTTATTAAGCAATGCGGCACCATGGCATGACTTTTATCTTGAGGTAATTTTTTCTGTAATTTTTCTCAGCTTGGAAATATGTTACTAGGGGTCTGGGTTTTGCTTGCTTTTTCTATACACTTTTCCCCACCTAAAGTGCTATGTTGCTGGTGTCCGTTCCTGAACTGGAGATACTGGTACCAAAAGGGATCTGTAAAGTCATCTCTCTGCCTTGGCAGTTTACCTGGCAATAATCTGTCACATAGTAGTTAAATACAACAAGCAAGTCACATATTGGTTATAGATTTAAGGCAATTGCTAAATTGTTGCTTTCAAACCAGTTGTTGGCTAACATGCATGGTGGTACTGTTAATCCTAGGTTCCTCATCAGGTGTTCTTTTCTTAATCCTAACAACTCATAAAGTGCTCTTTTTGTTATTTTTTTTTAGTAGTTGAGAAGCAGGTTTGGTAGTGTGTATGCTGTTCTCTGCTTCTGTTAGGTCATTTTCTTAAATGCTTTATCAGTTTCCTATAGCTTCTTAGTTTTCCTTATCACTCCTTGCTCCTCTGCCCTTCCAGGTTAGGAAGGGGAGAGGCTTTCTTGCTGCAGTGGCTGAGCAGATTGGTCTGCTGCAGTCTGGACATGCCCCCACTGATGCTTCTGGTGTCAGGTGCTGGCTTTATATGTCTGCCTTTTAATTAGACTGATCCTAGAGAATGCCGTTGGAGCCACATTAAATGTCTGGTTCTGCAGGAGCTCTGTGTGTGTGGCTGGATGTCTCTTACCCCTCCCATGCTCTGTCAGCAAAGTGGTTTGCTTGTTTCCCACCCTGCTTCTGATGAAATCAGCCTACCTTATTTAAACCACCTATTTAAATTGTCTCCATTAAGGTGGCTGATTTTGCTTAAGTGGTTTAGGAATTGTTAAGGAGAGTGGTGGGAACTCTGGTAAAAGTGCTGTTAGAGGCAACTGTCTCAAATTTCTTCTTCTTTTTGCAAAGCAACCATCTCTGTACATCATAACTGGTGGTAAAACCTTTGGAAAGAAGCAACTGTCCCAGTACATCTGTCTGGGGATTGTCTTCTCCATTCTTCACCACAATGCTTGGCAGTGGTGTTGCAAGCCTGCTCAGACACATAAAAGCTTTAGTGTTTTCCAGCTGAGCACATCCAAAAATATTTAAAGGTTCTGCACCCACTTTCAGGCTTTGTTTACAGTGCCTTGAGAATCAGCGGAGAGGATTCTCCAGGACATGTGAGGACTCGTTCAGTGGCTGGACTGTGAGCTTCTTCTCTGAAAATCTGCATTGGGCATTATATAGATGGTTAATTTTTGTTTGGCATTTAGCCCACATTAAAATCACAGTGCTACCAGTGCTGTGTGGTTCTGAGTGTGGGAAGGAATTGTGCCTTACTGCCTGCACTCTGTGCTTCACAATAGCAGGGAAGGGTTGTGGTCTGTTACAGCTGAGTTCTACCTTTGCACCTTCCAACCTGGAAGAGCAGTGAGTGATCTCACGCAAATCTCAGAGCTCAGCACAAGATGTTTTTGCATAATGGCTGTCACAGTAATCCTCATTCAAATTTGTGCACTAAAAATACCAAGCTTTCTACACTGAAGGGAAATATTTTATGAAATTTTTGAAAGGTTCTGTAAAATTTTAATGACTCAAGATGCTGGTGGTGCCTTTAAGATGGAAATTCATCTCTGTTTTAGTCTACTGCTGTAAACATAAGCAGTTTTCTTGATATTAAATGTTATGCTGGTCAGAACTTAAGTGATTTTTAATGTTTATGAAATCATGATGATAATACAATGATTTTATATATAATAAAAATTTTATACAATTTTGTTCCCAGTGTTGCCTTGAATTTCCATCTAAATAATTTTGAAATGCTTAAATTCTTTTCCCTTTTAAACCTGTGATCTTTTTTACTGTATTATGCTTTCTTGTTCTAAAGAACTTTATAAAATATTTTGTAATAATTTTTAAAATAAAATATTAGTAAATAACCTAAGTGTTTCTTGTTTTGGCCTCTATGATTTGGTGTTGCTATGTAGTTCTCCTAGAGCCAACCATAGGAAATAACATCATTCTTTGTTCCTGGTTTGGAGGAAAGAGCTTGCATTGTGTTTGCCAGTTAACTGGGGAAGAGGGTCTGACTTGCAAAGCTGGATGTTCTCACGGAAAGCTCCCAGGAGAAAAGGTCTGATAAGGTCAGTATTGCCTCTGATGATAGGGTCCAGCCAAACTAGTTTGCAGTAGGCTTTACATACCCTGCTCTTTAGGTTACTGTGACAAGCATAATCCAAGTGCTGCTCTTTCCTATTGATCACATGGATCTGAAAAAAGCAAAGTGGCAGACTTGCTAAAGGCAGGAGCATGACCCAGTAAAAGGTGTTGAGTGCAAACAATTTATTCTGGTGTAGAAAAATGCAGGTGACCAAGTCACTTGGTTGAGGGAGAGCTGCTGGATACTTTAAGTATTGTTTGGCTGATTATTAATGATAGGAGGTGAAGAAAAGGAAATAAACCTCCATGCTTTCTGGCAGGGTAGTGCTTTTTTTGTCTCATAATCCTATTTGCTTATTACCTTGTGGTCATCTGGTACACAGGAGGAGAATGCCATTTCCTTCATTGTCAGCACTGAAATTGGAATGCCACAGTATATTTTCCTTGTAAATGTTAAAGGTGACATTATCTCTGATGAAGTTGCCAGAGATGGGTGTAACTGTAAGGATTCATAAGGGAAAAAGGTCCCTAATGCTTTTTAATTACATTTGAAAACTAGATGCAAGAAAACAATTGAGGCAAAATGTTGTATTAAAAGGGTACTTCAGTGGTGGATTTACACACCATGAGAAAGTAACTCAGAAGTCCTAGATTTAATAATTCCAATCATGACCACGCACTTTAAGTCATGGCAACTCCTTTTTCAGGCGTGTA